AGCTGGCAGGGGTGTGGATGGGTCTCTCTTTTCTTTATTTTAATTTGATTGTGAAAAGAAGTGATTTAAAAAAGGGTGAAGTGGGAAGCAGCAAGTGCCCCAAAACCCCATAAAGATGTTAAAGTGTGAAAAGTATGTCCTCCATAACTTTGTGCTCCTATACCAAATAGTGGCATACCACATGCTATCTCAATTGCCCCCACAGTATATGCATTGCCTCTTTAAACTATCATCATCATCACCTCTTTAGTGCACTCTTGCAAATGCCAATCATCTTCCTTAACTCACTTTTTTCATCTTTTTTCTTAAAAAATAAAGTAAATAAATTATATTGTCTTCTTCCCCAAAAGATTAATGCCAACAAAACTTAGACATACTCCCTCTGTCCCTAATTACTTGTCCACTTTTTCTTTTATAGTTGTCCCTAATTACTTGTCTATTTTGACAAATCAAGAAATGACAAAAAAAAAATTCTATTAATACCCTCAATTAATTACTTTGAAAAAGGTAGAACTTTTTGAAAATATTAAATTTTTAATTCATCCACTTCATAATTAATAGGGGTAAAATGGTAAACTCACTATATCAATAATTGTTATCTTAATACGTGTTTCAATTCAAAAGTAGACAAGTAATTAGGGACAGAAGGAGTAATAATGTTTGATCATCATGAAGCCTAATTAGGGTTATGAATTATGATAAGGCACTTGATTAAAATAATAATTGACCTTTTAGGCAGATGGCTAGGATCTAACAACTAAAACATTTATTCCTTTCTAGTTAGTAGTTTGTCCTCAAAAGATGTCTCAGTAATATGATTAATAGTTACACAATTATCAACGACTTGCTTTAGATTATAACTTTTAAAGGTTACTATTTTTTTCCTTCTTAAACTACATATTCAGTCAAATAATGTCACATAATTAGTAAGCATACAATATTTTAGAAGTCCTTAGAATTTTTTTAAGATGTTGGAGTGTAAGTTATTTTTACTGATCAACAAGAGTTTGTTCGACTTAGTTAAATAAAAGGAGTCTCTATTAGAGTCCGTTTGGATTAGCTAGAAAATAGTATTTTTTAAGTAAAAAAAATAAAAAGTCAAATTTAAATAAAATAAAAAGTAGGGGGAGTCGGATCCGGCTCTCCTCCATTACCCCTTCCCTCCATTTCGTCAAGTGCATGTCTAGATTAGAGACAAGTGTCATATTTAAAGTTTAAAGGTAAATATTTTATTATATTAACAAATATCATAACCATAGTTTAGTCAACTAATTTTAAAAAACTACTCTCCAAATTTGATAAGGATTACAATATATTCTATACAAAATTTGATATTTATTAATATCATTAATTTCATATTATATTTTTGTATTTAAATATTAAATTGTAATTTTTTTAGTTTTAAACCAATTATTTTTAAATGATAAAAGATTGCTATTGTTTTTTATTACATCTTAATTACTTCTGATCAATTTCAATGTTCTCCTTTTTTGAATCATTTTTCAGCTTATTTAATTCTACTAAACAATTGCTATAACGGAAAATGATTTTTTTTTGTCTATTGCTACAGTACATTTTTCAAAAAAAAATATAATTAAATAATTGGAGTGGATTAGTAAGATAAATAAAATAGACATCTTCTTATTTCTTATAAAAATAGTTTAAAATAAAATTAGATTTCTACAAAATTTAATGAAAAAAAAATATTTAAATTGATTGGATGACTTTTTAAGTGAAATATCAATAGTTGAGTGATTTTCTAAGTAAAATATCAATAGTTGAGTGACTTTTGAGTTATAATCATTAATTTCATATTATATTTTTATATTTAAATATTAAATTGTAAATTAAAAATATAAGATGAAATTAAAGATATTAATAAATATCAAATTTTGTATGAAATATATTGTAATTCTTACCAAATTTGGAGAGTAGTTTTCTAAAATTAGTTGACTTACCTATGGTTATGATATTTGTTCATATGATATAATCTTGACCTTTAAACTTTAAATATGACACATGTCTCTAATCTAGACGTGCACTTGACGAAATGGAGGGAAGGGGTAATGGAGGGGAGCCGGATCCGGGGGAATCCTACTTTGATTTTTATTTTTTTTAAAGTCATTTTAAACTTATTTTAAGTTATTTCTAACTTTGTCAAACACTCTCAAAAGCGAAAAATGAGTTGAAAGTATATCTGACCAACTTTTAAGTCAATTCAAAGGCTTTCGATATCAAATGTAGAAAGTCATTTGACGTGTTAAATTAATTTTCTAAATAAATAATTAGTAACTGCTAATTCTATAGGAATTTATTTTATGTGAATGTCTTCCATAAAATAAAGTCCAGATGCCCTATCTTTATTTTTATTTTTTTGCCTTTTTTTCTTTTTTTTGGCTTAAAAGAAAACATGTTTACTTTTTTCACTTCCTTATGGGACTATCACTGTCCCAACCATCTGGTCAGATTTATCTATTACTTAGCAATTTCATTTTTTCCTTGGTTGAATGAAACATTTTGTTTGTTACTATTAATAACTTTTCATATTTCAGAAATTATTTATTAACAACATGCATAAAGTGAAGGAAAAAAGTTCAACAGTAGACTGACAAATAATTTACAATATTTCAACTTCTATAATGATGAAATGAAATAAATCCCTTTTCTGATATCCAATTTATTCGTTTTAAATGCAATGAGTTTTTTCTACATGATTGGAACTTTTATATGATTCCCAAAATTAAACAAATTCCAAAAAAGTACTAAAAGTCTATAATATTTAGGTAAACCAAAGTTTTATAATTATACGTACGTAATTACAAAGTGTACACTCTAACATGCTAATTTTTAAAATAAGGTGGTCCCACTGTTCCTCAACCTTTAAATCAATTTTCAGTCTATATATGAATTTTGAACTTTAATTAAGTCCCACGTTAAAAAAGGAAAATAATTCAAATGTTCATTAATTAGTCAAGATTGATTAAGCCTAATGGAATAACTAGCATCACTGCTCATGAGTTTCTCAAGTCAATTTTGATATGAAAGAGAAAAAAAACAATCGAAAGTGCCTGGGGCCAAATTTGAGACTTTGAAAAGTTGAGTGCGTAAATGCACTTTATCATGTATTGATTAAAAATCAATGGTAGGACCCTAGGATTGTATATTATTAGTGAATTTAGTACATGATAACATTATTGAAGAGACCAAGTAACATAGCATTACACAAACCAATTTTAGAAAATATTTGTCATATTTGTATTAGAGATCCGTAAAAAAAATAACTTAAGATATATTGAAAGGTACATATAAACGATTTTTTTTAAAAAAATCCAATCAACATAGATTTGCATAGCCTTATTTTCAGCTATTTGGGCATTCAAATATCTGAAAATTTTCAGACAACGTAACGTTGCAAATATCTAATCAGTCATCAAAAGAAGTTAAAAACATTTTTTTTAGTTAAACCATTTTGGTGCTTAGTGTTCTCAAAGCAAGAGCAGGTTGACAAGTGATATATCATACTAAAACATTATACCTTGTTTACTGCACAATAATAAATTTGTTAAAATGGGACAAAAACATAGTTTGCTGACAACCTACGAAACAAACAAGAACCTTGCACATTGCGAACATACACATTACTACACTAAATAAATATCATTTTTGTCTCAATTTATGTAACATCATTTGGTTTAACATTTTTTTAAAATTTAAAAATGATAATTGTGGAATTTATTATCTAAATCTTAGATATTTATGTGACTACAAATCATTTTACGATAACAAAATATTTTCCTTCTTCACTGTGTTTTATTGTGTTGGTATTTTTTTCTTATTTTAGTTTACATGTATTAAATGCTGATCATAATTACGTTTGTACATTGAATGCAAAATTTGGTCCATTAGAAAGCGACCCCAATTTTTTGCAGAATAGAAATTGATCCAACAATTTCTGACGATGTGCTTAAATTCTTGTTATTCATTACTGTTACTTATAGTACATGGTAGGTTGTCTTTTCAGACAGCGTATTTTTTTCTTAAATAAATAACTAAACTAATTTATATATTTTTCAAAATTGAAAGTGTCTTTTTTAAAAAAAAATAAAAGTAAATTTTAAAAAGAATAGCGTGAAATGGGAGCAACACACAATATATAGAGAAAAGAACGGTAATGCAGCGATAATCAAAACACATAAAACACGATTGATCAATCTTGAAGTACGAAAAATACGGGTGACAATTCAATCGAAGAACAAGAAACTACGAGAATAATGTTAATACCAATAAAAATGAAGGTTCATGTACTACCACCAATCCTATCTCATAGTATAGCGAAAAAACGCTCAACTGTCAACTAACCTTCTATCTTAATTCTCAACCTCCAAACCCAATGACCCCATCATTAATCCATTTCTTTCTTGAAAACCAAGTGAAGCAACAGTAGTAATGATTCCCCTTTCCCCACAGAAAAATAAAAGGGAAGAAAGAATATAAAATACAATTCTCTGGTCGTAATTTATTTGGTACTTTTCGTTTTTTTAAATTCAAATTAGGTAAATCTTGACAAATATTTTATAATTTTTTAATTATATTAACATAACAAATTACAATTTATATTATTTTGAATATCTAAATTTTAATTTAAAATATTAACGTAATTTCAAAATTAAAAAAAAAACCACATAAATTGGGACAGAATATATAACAAATCTGCTGAAACACCAAAATCTCAGTTTGTTAATATTTAATCAGTATCTTTTGAGTGCCTGGAACTCTGTAACACAGCTATTAGAATAAAGAATTGGCCCTTACTTTTGACTAGCAATACAGTAAGTGGGGTTAACACTTAATTAACCCCTCACCCCACCCCCCTACTTGTCTATTTTAATACAAAAATTCAGCCTGCGTGTCAGTACACAAAACCAAAGAAACTCACACAAACATAAAAAAAATCTATACAAATAGAATTGTTTTTCTCTATCAAAAAAAAAATTGAATCTTGAAAAATGTTGTGTGTGTAACCGTGTTTTAACTTACTCTTTGAATCTTTCTTCTTGTCTTGCACTCTTTTTCTTGTTTTTTTTTAGTATATGGAAGATCAACAATTGTTTCTTCCATGGACAAAATTCTGGAATAAATCATCTTGTTGTGTTGCTTCTCATTACAGTAGAAGACAACTTCAATACATACAAACATACAACAAATATTAACAGAAGAAACAATCAGAAAAAGACATTCCAAAATCATGACTACTTCTTCAATCATTTTCAAATTTGTTGTTTTCCTTGTTATTTCTTCTTCATTTAGTACTGTTTTGTCTGAGCATAGTACTCTCCAAGCAAATCAAACATTCCGGCCAAAGGAAGAATTGTTGAAACTCAAGAAAATAAAGGGTTATCTCAAGAAAATCAACAAGCGTCCCGTCAAAACGATTAAGGCATCTATCTTCTTTCAAATTCTCTGTTTCTTTTCAAGATTGTCAAAGCTTGTAAGAAAAAATATTGATTTTTTTGTGATGCAGAGTCCAGATGGGGATTTAATAGATTGTATTTTATCTCATCTTCAACCAGCTTTTGATCATCCTCAGCTTAAAGGAATGAAGCCATTGGTAATTTGTTCAAAGTTTTTTTTTTTTTTTTTTTTGACTTTTTAAGTTATAAACAGAGTTAGAAGAACAACTTTTTTGATGTGTATTTATCTTTTTATGCAATGTAGGAACCTCCAAAGAGGCCTAAAGCTAATGACTCAATGAATGTAATGGAAGAAAGTTTACAACTTTGGTCAGTTTCTGGAGAATCATGCCCAGAAGGAACTGTTCCTATTAGGAGAACAACAGAGAAAGATGTATTGAGAAGTAATTCATTAAGAAGATTTGGTAGAAAAATTAGAAGAGGTGTAAGACATGACACATTGAGCAATGATCATGAGGTAACTCTTTTTTTTTTTTTTTTGTTAAATAGAGTCAAGCGAGTCAAAGATGTCATATTCAAGAAGGAACAGAGATTGCTTGTAAAAGCAAAGTAGGATGAAGACATTACAATGTTAATGTACAATATGTCTAAAGGTGAAAATGAAAAAAAATAATATGTGTGGTGTATGGCAGCATGCAGTAGCATTTGTGAATGGAGAACAATATTATGGAGCAAAAGCAAGCATTAATGTATGGACACCAAGAGTTACAGATCAATATGAATTCAGTCTGTCACAACTATGGGTCATTTCTGGCACATTTGGTAATGACCTTAATACCATTGAAGCTGGTTGGCAGGTATGCACACATTCACAAGCAAATAAATTTTCAAGTCCTATGTACATTATTTTACTACTTTCCTTCCTAAAAATACGACACTCGAGTCTAACTTAACCCAAAAACTACCCTTCAATTCAATTTTGTTTGTTCAGCTTTCTTAAGACCATGAGATTAAAAAATATTTTAATATATTTAATGTATCTTTAACTTAAGATGACTAATTTTATTTTTTTTGAAATGGACTCATAAGAAGAGAATTGCCTTTTGGGGATAACTTAAGTACATTTCAACTAATTCATATTGAGTACTTATTATGTTTCACCAATATATGTACCAAATAATTTTGCTCGATTTTTAGACAATTAACAAAAATCACCAATATTTTTCTTTTGTCATTTTTATGTCTTTGTCCATATAAATATTCTTCCTTCTTTAAAAAATTAAATCATACTAACATTTTCTTGTTAAAAATTAGACTGATCTTTTTTGTTAATTAATTTTCAACGAGTTTTTATTTTGACTAATTTTTTTCAGGTAAAATACATGTCTAAACTATTTGTTTGTCCTTCCACCAATCGAAAATTTTCTATTTTTTTTTACATTGCTTTAAGTGCAATTTGAACCTACTTTAGTCTTTTCATTTACCCGTTAAAAAAGAAATCATTATTGCTGCTAAGCTGTAACAATCACCAGCACTACAAATGATTAATTTTGAAAGTGAAATATCGACTAATTTAGTTGTCATAACAAACTAACATCCGTATACCACAATAACAACTAATATTATTCTTTTATTAGTCAACATAAATTTTCAACTATAGTAAATATTAATTATGTCCCATGTTCATATTCAGGTCAGCCCGGAATTATATGGAGACAACTATCCTAGGTTCTTTACTTATTGGACGGTAAGCATTTCAATTTTTCTTCGTATCTCACGTGTCACATGTCAGTGTATAAAATTTAAATTTTATAATGTAATTTCGGAACGCAGACAGATGCATACCAAGCTACAGGATGTTACAACTTATTATGCTCAGGTTTTGTTCAAATAAACAATAGGATTGCTATGGGAGCTGCAATATCTCCAAGATCATCTGTTAATGGTAGACAATTTGATATTGGCATAATGATATGGAAGGTAATATTTAATTTCTCTTTCCTATAATATTTATATTTTTTTATTCTTTTTTTTTATAATCTAATAAAAAAAGGTTAAAAAGTATTTTAGCTGTTTTGCACTTCCCCACCCACCAAAAAATGTTTAGTACGTTTTCCCTTTTTCTTTTAGGCATGCGTATAGGACATTTTTGGTGAGCTGACAAAAACGTAATAGTAATATATATTATATTATATTCCTTACAAAAAATTTTTATTTTATTTTTTAAAATACAATATTTAAGAATAGTAAATTGCAAGATTCTCTAAACATTGCTGAGTCAACTTTACATTTTGCATCTTCAATTTAATATTCTATTTTCTTGCTAGCTGACATCTAACAACTTTTAGGTATAACAGTTTAATATTTTGGAACTACTACATTTCTTGTTTCCACACTTCTTTCTTTTGGACTCTTGTTTTGCATATTTTTTTTTTTTTTGGTCTTTGTATTTTAATATATGTTGGAGCAGATAATATTTTTAGGTCCTAAGGGGCGGTGTCGCACATCCGATTTACGGAATAAATAAAATAACATTAATAGTAGTGGTATTTCATTTTTGTCTTTCGGCTCCACTTATACTACACTACTGACTCGAAGACTTGAGAGACCTTTACGTAGTAATGAATGAAGGGAAGCTCTTCGAGCTTTCTCTGTCAACAGACTATGTAGTGGTTGGCCTTATAAAGCTCTCCAAGACTCGGTTCCCTCTCCTCTACACTTATTACGCCAAAAATAGTCAGCGACATTCTATAAGCGACTTGCTCCTCTAGTAGACATTAATGATATTCGTGAATTTGTTTCAAGGTCTCTACTTTACGTAAACAATGTTATTTTCAGTGTCATTATTCCTACTTCTGCAGCCTCTTTTTTAAACGGCTACATGTAATTATCTTTTAAATAATTTGATAAGTAGACCAACTAATTAATTTGTCTTGTGTGTAGGATCCAAAGCATGGACACTGGTGGCTAGAATTCGGGTCGGGTCTATTAGTTGGATACTGGCCAGATTTCTTGTTTAGCCATTTAAGAGGACATGCAAGCATGGTACAATTTGGAGGTGAAGTAGTGAACTCAAGATCAATGGGATATCACACTTCAACACAAATGGGAAGTGGACATTTTGCTGATGAAGGATTTGGAAAAGCTTCTTATTTTAGAAATTTGCAAGTTGTTGATTGGGATAATAACTTGATTCCTTTGTCAAATCTTCATCTATTAGCTGACCATCCAAATTGCTATGATATTAGAGCTGGAAAAAATAATGTTTGGGGTAATTATTTTTACTATGGTGGTCCAGGAAGAAATTCAAGGTGTCCATAGTTGGAAAAGAAAAAAAGAGTGCAATTAATTTCATTTTGGTCTTGTAGAGTGTCCTATTTTTAATTTTTTGGTCTTTTGTGTCCCTATTTTGACCTAGGATATAGAAGGTTTGGGTCATTTCTATGATTCTTTCATATATAACAAAAAACCTAGTTTGCTCCAAAGTTACTTATTTGACCATCATGAGCTGATGTAAATATTTTGGTGAGAAGTTGATAGTATTGATTTACAATCTATATCTATGTTTATTTTTTGTCAATTGATGGAAATTGTAAGTAGAAAAATTGAACCACCACACCTACCATTGGAACTTGGAAATTTAAAGTCCAAGATGTTTGGATCAACTTTTGTACACCTCTCAACTAATTTTACGAGGTACATAATATCTCCACCACCAGCATAGCTACCTAGTAACTCTGAATCAAGACTTGAATAGAAAATTAAATTTGAGACTTCACGGTGCTAACTAGTATGTTGGGAAACTCAATTACCCAATGTATCTGTCTTATTCTGTGCCAGTGAGATTACAGATACAGACAGCAAGAAAACTTCATATTTTCAAATATTTTTTTCTAGTGAGATAATGTTGATAGTAACGTTAATGTAGATATTGCATGTGGGAAGCATGGGAAGAATACAATATAACTGGCATAAGTCTTAAGTTATTAACCTTCCCAGGCATTATAATAATAATAAAAAAAATCCAACAAAAGACTGATTTTTTTATTATGATTATAAGAGAAGTTAGAGGCCTAGTCAACCCAACAAAAGCATCCAATAAATGAAGACAATCCAAGTTCACTAATCAAGAACATGGTTTTTATCAAGAAAATATTTAAAAAGGCAAAACTTGTAGCAGGGATTTGGTTCTTGTCTTTGTTTAAAAAATCTTAAGTCAATTTTTAGGTAAGCTGAAGAACGTCATACTTTGTGGATCATGCAGTATTTGAGATTATATGCCTTAAAGTACTTAAGTTATATGTAGCCGCAGTCAATCATTTTTGTCGAACGAACTTCAACAATATATGAAGGAAAGGCATAAATTTCCTTCTGAACTTGTTACGAAAAGTCAGTTACATGTTTATACTATTGTGATGATCTATTACACACCTGAATTACTTAAAAGTGAATTTATTTAAACTCTGACGCACATACAACCAGTCACGTGATGAGAGAGTGTTTCACACTCGCGCCACATCATCACCATGTCACTGCCACATCAATAATTACGCCAATTTTTTTTAAAAAAAACCCAATGCCACTCAATTTCTTCTTCCCCATTCACCATCAAACCCACCATTAAATCACTACCATTGATGCTATTTCACTTCTCCACCACCATAGATTTCACCACCCATAATCAAATTTATCACCGGAATCTTTCCACAATCATTGCCATCATAAAAAATCGATAACGAACATCATAAATTTAACTAAATTCACCATCAGAACCATATCACTATCATTGAAATTCATCACAATCATAACCATAAATTCACCATCCACATCAAAATCACGAGTTTCATTGTCATTATCAAAATTAAAAGTCATACAACCACTAATTTTTCACCCATCACCAAACCCACCACAAAAAATTATCACAATATACAAATTTCATTCAAGCTCAAAGAGGAGAATTATGAAAACTTGCAATATTTGTTTGCAAAGATTTTAGTCAGACAATTGAAAAACTAGTGCTCGATTTACTATTACTGATTTTAAAGAAAATCTAAAGATGATTTTTCTGAGAGAAAAGAAAGATCTATGAATATACATTTAAAAATTAAATTTTGTTCAAAAACCCAAAAACTTTTTACACAAAAAAAGCAAGATCTGAAAATTTTCTTATTGCAAATGCTCACAATCAACAAAAAAATACAAAAATAAATTGAATAATCTGTGCTTGATTTGATGAATTTGATGTGAAAATAGTAAGGATTGATCAATTTTAGATGTCTCACCAGAAATTTTTTCGAACAATGAGCCTAATCAATCGAACAACTTCACAATCGAATTTCTATCCCGCAATGTTGTTTTTTATTTTTCTCTTGGAAATTTATCATGAAATTCACATTAGCCATAGCAAAAAGAGTGTTTGTGATAAGAAAAAAAAATGGAGGAAGAAGAAAGGTAGGGTAACCTGAAGGAGAAGGGTGGGGGTGGGAAAAAATTGCCTTTTTTTCTACTCAAACGCGCCTTATTTATTTTTTATTTAATCTTATTTCCATGTCAGCTTTGAGAGTTGTATTAAATTCACTTTTGAATAGTATAAGTGTGTAATGGGTCACCTCAATAGTTTAAGTATGTAACTGACTTTTCGGTACAACTTCAAAGGTGAATTTATGCCTTTTCTCATATAAAAATGAACATTAGACTGAACTTCGATCATACAAAACTTCAAACATTTGTCAACAGTTAGGCAAGCCTAAGTTCAAACAAACTGTTCCAAAGTGGGTAGATGTACAATTTTCAAAGTACAGACCATGACTAATTTAAGTAAAACGCAGGAATATTTAATTCTCCAACATGTTCAAGCATTTAAGAAAAAAACAATAGTCAAATCATATTATCAGAGATACTCCATCTATTATTCCGTATTAACTGAATATGTAAGGTAATGCATGCATATTAAAAGAAAAATATTCAAGAACATAATTTCCCCTATTGCGCTTTGTGAAATCATAAATATAAGTTTATAAGTAGTGTAATGTAGCTCCTAGTAGTAAATATAAAACTTTAATAAATGAAAGGACAAATATGAAAAAAAAACTCAAATATCCATTTTGAACTTAGAACAATTCAATTATTTTGAATAATGAAAAAAGCTAAAAAATTTAGTTAATATGGAACAAAAATAAAGGTTTTCGCTTAATTTGAGAAGGCATACTGGCACAGTGCCATCACTTTGTGGAAACACTAACATGTAAAAGAGGGTGATGATAAACCTGATGTACTCCTTGAGTATCAGCGTGGTGTCCTCTATCGATATGCGAAGAACATGAACTTGTTATTTCATATATGTATACAGATATTCCTAACGAGAAAAAGCACCACCTAATTTTGTCAAAGCATCATCGATAAAGGCAACTAGGTCTTCAGAACTCTGAACTTGAGATCTAACAAAACTAGTACACATCAAGTCTGTACACTGCAATAATGTGGGGGTCATCTCATCTGTGTCATATATCAGTTCATATGTTTTTCCAACAGCTGCACAGAGCTCTATAAACGAGTGATCCTCCAAGTTTTTCCTCAAGTCAAGTAAAACACCTTGTCTGTCCCCTGTATTTATGGGTTTCATTTTCACAGCGGTACTTCTTATTGATTCGAGGTTAAAACATATATGCTGCAGTGCTTTTGATGGTTTCCGATTTGTTTCGTTCTTTACCTTGGCAAATGTATGTAGTAGGACTACATTTCCAAAGGCAAAGCGCACAATGAAGATGAAGAAGTCGTAGAAATTCATGCCTACAAAAGAAAAGGAAAAAATAGCCGGATTGTCAAGATGCTGGCGCCATCAATCAGATGATTACTGTTCTCCCTTCTTTAAGTGAACTCACAAAGAATTTCAACAAAAGATAACAAAGCCCAAAACAAACAGTCATGTTAGAAGACTAGGCTAAGCCACAATTGTAAGTTCGTTACACAATGCTGTACATCCCCCAGGACCCCACCATTATCTCGCTAAACATACTAGAACTTTTGATCAAGGGCAGACCTGTATTAGCGGCAAGATTTCGTTGGCAAAGCTCCTCAAAGTCATTGCATCCCTTGAGGTCTTCAATGTATTCACTAGCCTCATTGTAATCTTTTAAAAGCAAATCCCACTAATATCACTTATACAGATATGATTAGTTTCTGAGGAAAAGATAATAACTATATTCATGTAAAAGGCTAGTAAGCAAGCATTTTATAGCAACTTTACTTACCACCCAAGATAAATTATATCCATTGAACCAGTTATGATTTATGGATATGGTATCCTCCTGCAATTCGTTTAACATACTTTGATTTAGCAGAAATACAGGCCCTAGATCCTTGAAATAAATACGAGAAAGTTGTATCTCAAATGCAATTTTCAGCTTAATTACATGCAAAGATTGATCCTATCTTCCTTACAACAGCCATATACGAACAATTAAAATGATCCTTCTTTTACCAGAATCTACTGTCAATTGTTATGAGAAACAGATCCAAGTTAACAATGGATCCTCTTACAGAAATATATATGACCTGTCCGTGTTAAACACTTATGTCCAGTATACGTAGAAGATATTTCATCAGAAACTAAGCGATTCATTCTCATCTAATATGTGATGGATGTAATTAGGACAGTAACCGCCTCACTATTAGATCCTTTTATGGAACTCAAGAGTAAAACCTTCCAAGAGAGCAAATTGCAGCGGTACTTGTTTCAATTTTAGCACTATAACCACATAAGCCATAGGTCAGCTTTATAGATGGCACTAAGCAGTAAGCAGTGTAGTAAAAGGAGGAAGTTAGGATCTAATACAAGGTAAACTACTCAAGTTTTTCAGTTGAATGAAAAGCTGTAGATAATTTATACTATATGAAGAAACATAGGCCATAACAAATAAGACACATTTGATTAAAGCAGCAATACCAGATTATGAACTTGATGATACCATCCACTGGGAACGAAGATTACTTCATTTTCCTCTTGGGTGCACTCCCACCAGATAGCCTGAACTCATGATGGAAGTCAAAAACTAAACACTAAAAAGCCGAAAGAACACTTAAATCCCAAGGAAAAATTGCCAGAGAGACATACTTCATGGAAAAAGTAACTAGCAAATTACCTTTTCAAATCCAGGAAATTTTGATTGAGAAACGTCAGCAAAGATGTCATATACGGAACTTTTCATATTCCTGAGTAAACAAAGAGTATAAATTATGTGAACTCACCGAAGATAGCAAGCATTGTTTGTTCCACTAACATCATTTTCCCTATTAAAGTAATTTACTTAAAGCAATACAGGGAAACTTTATCGCTTTAAACCAATCATAAGTGTCATTACAAGTTAATAGTTATAAATAACAGTATGAAAGGGAAAACACATAAATGTGAAGATTTGAGTTTTACATCATTTTGTAATGCATTGATCTAGGAAACTGATAGTTATTCACACGTGTTTGATGTTCCTATGTTAATGTTCTGTGACATCTGTCTATAGAAGATTGTGAATATATGTAAAACCAACATAAAATATGTGCAAACTTCTTTTGAGATACATGTTTGCGTTGATATGGCGCATCTGCTTGGACCTTGACATCAGAACTTTCAGGGTTCAGCAGCACACATTTCTTTCTCAGTCACTCAGACAATTTTTTCCAAACCAAAGTTTATGGAAAATGTTGGCAGGAAAAGAAAAATAGTCCGAGGAAAGTCCATGGATACCAAAAGAATGTACTACACCTGTCAAAAACCAAGTGATGTTGACTTGGAGGCAGAAAATACCACTGTTTTTTTCCACAGACATTTGCAGACCAACTGTATGACCTGAATACATCGGCATGAAGAGGTGTCCATGTTCCTACATCCATTTCAAAAGTTAAAAAACTTCTCAAAAGTACTAGATATTTGATTAAAAACAAACTAATTTATTGCTAGAACCATGGAAAATAACAACCGTGTCTTACAAGAAAGAAATTACCACGACAATGGTCAGACCTTTTGATCCCATGTATACAAAACGATAGTCAGAGCAACTTATTTCATTTCTCTCACTATATGTATCAGGATCATTATGCATACGAAATTTGTCAAGATAGAAATTCAGCCAGTCATCTGAAAAGTCCATGGGAGTTCTGTATGCAATATACTCTGGATATTCCTAAAAAGGTTTGAATTTCAAAATTAGCAAGAGAAACAGGCTAAGAATTTTTTGATAGGATGGAAAAAAGAAGGCTGGAGCAAGCGGCAACTTTTGAAAGACAGACCAAAGAAAAGATGGAGTATACATTTCAAATCCAACTTACGGTGCCAGTGCAACCTTGCGAATTAAAAAAATGTAACACCTAATCTCCCCATTATGATTAAAAATTACAATTTAATATGTAATCTACTCATTCAGTTCTATGGAGTACGTTTTTCATCTTATGTTACATGAGTGTATCCCAATATATAATGTCACGGAAACAAAACTGAGCACGTATCCTTCTCAAAAAAAAAAAACTGAACAAGTATACACAAAGTGTACATCTATGAGAAAATCAACAAGCTACCTACACTTTTCTGCTAATATGCTTAAAAAGAGATTTATCAGCTTAATTAAATCCTGAAACAAACATTATCACAGAGGGTATAACACAAAATTTATGTAAGCAATGGACCTAGTAAAAGCTTCTTAAAAATAGAGTCCCTCCACAATATGTTAAGTGTGGGGGTCAGACAATATGCTATATTCCTATATCGGCTTTGATTGTTGGGATCATAGATAATAACTATCCATAAACTATTATTTCAAACACTCTACATTCTACTTTACGTGTGCTGATATCACTTAACAAGTTTCATCGTAGTCTGAAAGGACAAATCTTTTTATTTAGACACCATTGTTCTTTCCAAGAATAAATCAGTAGTATTCCACTACTTCACAGCAGGAGTAGAACAAACTTTACGAGATCAATGATCAGTAGCACATATATCAATTGCATCCATATAGCTAGTCTTCCTTCAAGAAAGAGTTCTAATACAAAAAAATATATTCACAAGCATCACAACATTGAATTTAGCTATTTTTCACATTTTAGCGGACCCAAAGTTGATACCTTTACAAAATGCCAGTCCTTCAAATACAATAAAGACCCGCCACCACCAGCACAATCACGAAGCCAATGATCAACAAATTCAGAAACAGTCATTTCTATTCTCTTCTGATCAGTGAACTCTCTAGTCCCACAATCTGCAACCTGCAAATCACCAGTAATTGACCACAAACCCAAAAACCTAAAAAAAAAAAAAAACGAATTAGGGGATTTAACTAATTGGGTCAAAGAAGTAATATCTTACCTGAACTTCAGATTTCCCAAAATGGGTAGAGAAAAAGTGAAGATTGGGTTTTCCATTAGGTGAAACCCAATCTTTGCAAGCCCTCCAATCGTCCATAAGTCCTGTAAGAACCACAGGTTGGTTTTGGGACATATATCTCTCGGCGAACTCACTGTAAGTTAGTTCTCTGCCGTTCACTTTTTCAATTCTCCCTCCAATTTTCAAACCCATTGCTATATCATTCAGTTATGGATCTTCCCTCGTCGTTCTTCTTTGCCTCATGTCGATGGTGAATTTTGATTCTTATGCGGTAGTTACTAGTTAGTAGTAGCTCCACCCTCTTTATTTTTTTTGATTTATCTGAATCGAAGTTCGACCAAATTCAAATTGCATCTAAAAATCTCCTACCTAGCAAAGATTGTGACTATGTGAACTTTGAACCCGACACTCCTATTTGGGCGATTCATAGTTATGATTAAAAAATTAAATGGAATCGCAATTTGAATCAAATCGATTAAAAAAATTTATATTTGATTTGATTAAGTTTTAAATTTTGAAAACCAATAATATTTGGTTTGGTTTTGGTTTATTGAAAACCAACTGCAAAAATCCAAATCGAAAGGATAAATTAGACATATAAATTTTATAATTATTTAGATATTATTCATAAATAAAATATAAATATTTTGTTAAATTTTAATTAACTTTACAATTTTCTCAAGCTTAACACTTAAATTTTCGTCCAACTATTACAATCTTGAGTTCAAGTCAATCAAAATTTATTACTTTAATCTTTACCTATCAAATCTCACATAAGATAGTAACACTTTTTTTTAATTGAAACACTTTGTTCGTGTAATGATAACTCTAGTATTGTTTAATTGTTTAAATGACCCAACAATAACTTTTGTGTAGATTGTTCATGTATTAGGTGTTTGTGTCTATCAAGATAGATATGACCTCAAAATATTTGTTACTTTCAAACCCAAAAAACCAGAAAACCCAAACCAAACTGAACCAAACCAACAATAACCAAATCGACAATTATTTTTTTGGTTTGATCTTAGAAATTTAAAAACCCAAATTTAAAAAATCAACTAGAGTGGTTTGGTTTTGATTTTAATCAATAACCAATTCAAACTGAACCACGAACACCCTAGTCCTAACTCCTCTCTATTACTTTTTTTTTTTTAAAAAAAGGTTAAAGATAGGCCAGGCCCATTTTTATTAAACAAACTAGATGATTCTTTGCCCGTGCTGCGCGGGCCTAACAATTTAGCTTAATGAGTTCGTAAGAGCAAACTACTGCACTGAACCTAGATGAATGCAGGACAACTGAAATTCATATACACGAATAAGTAGCAAAAAAGTAGCTATTACTTCAATGACACCAAAGAGACCATCTTCTGAATCTAGATTACTTTCAGCAGATGCAATTTTTAACTTTTGTGATTATCTCCCATTAGTTTCTCTGGCCACAAATATTCTCTCTTAGTATTATATTCTGTCCTCTGAAGCATATATATGTATTCACATAGTAGTCTTGGCTTCCTCTTCATCTAAATTCATTGCTTGTTATGTTTTGGCAAAAATACTTACTGAAGATTGTAGCCTCTAAAAATAGCTGGTAGCTCTTTTAGAGGCTTTCCTGAAAAAAGCAAAAGAATTTCTTAGAAGGTGTTACATCATAATAACATGATGCATATTTCTCACTCATGTTTCGAAAAGCAGGAAAACTTACATGATTGAGAATATCGTGCATTTGTCATTTACATGCCAATCAACAGAACTATTGCTTCACATATTAGTTTTATGTTCCAGAAAAGGATAATATGTATAAATTTTTCTGTATAAATTCGTAAGGCATCATCGACACTGCACTGCCAGGTAAAACCACTTGTAGTTACATAAACAAATATCAAAAAGATGCTACATCTAAATATGGCAGATTTTAACAGTACAATATATTTAGAGATTATATGAATGACCCAAAAATTATGTGGAAGACGTTATTAAAACTACTACCTACTTGCAGATTTAGTGACTCGATTGTTTAGAACCTTAAAGGTGGAATTAGTGAAAGCTTCAGTAGCCAACATGCCATGGAAGGAACTACTCCATTATTTATTTATTTATTGTGTAATTAAGAGGTTAAAAAGATTACCCTATATTTACTCTCTAAGTGTGGACAGGTTCAAGCCTAGAACAAACTAAGGAGGTTATAAAGATTATCATAATTCTGCAACTGTCATCATTGGACATGCCGGTTAATTCTTTCCAGGGAATAAGAGTTTTCCAATTAATGGTAAGCTATATTTGTGTTTTCTCAGATTCAAGCCTCATTTCTACTATTATAGATCAATACATAAAACTCAATCTAATATCAAAGTTTGGTAAATTTGTTCGGCCAAAAAATATAGAAATCGGACGGAAAAAATTGAAGCTCGAAGAACAATTAAGAAAAAAAGCATGGTTCCCTTTTTTTTAATTTGTATCTTCTCAGATTTAAACTTTATTGATGAAACTGGTGCAGTGACTTAGTTAGTTGGAAGTTAGTTATGTAACAGATTTTGTTAAATGGTTATTGTACTAGTTAGTTAAATATAATATGTACAGCTAGAGGGTAGATATAATCTTGTATGTAAGTAAGAATACATAGTTGATTTTAGTAGTAATTTTGAGATAACATTTTGTACAACTCATTTCTGATATGCAAATATTTTCTTCTCTATACTCGTATGTTCTTCTCAACATTTGAGTTGTTCATTGCTTCGTTTAATATGGTATCAGAGCTTTTCAGCCATTAATAGTGGTTTTTCGAGAGTTTGTAAGGAAGAGTTATGGCGATTCTAGTAGATAATGAATTGCCGGAGAAATTAGGTCATAATCATCCTCTGTATCTCAGTTCATCAGATACTTCTGGAGTGGTTTTGATCTCTATTCAATTGACTGGATCAGAAAATTATTCTATTTGGAGTCGATCGATGCGGATTGCCATACTTGGAAGAAAAAAGTTGGGTCTGATCGATGGAAAATGCAGAAAAGAAGGTTTTGGTCCAAATCTCACTGATCTATGGGAACGCTGCAATGCGATTGTCCTTTCATGGATCATGAACTCTGTTTTGAAAGAGTTATTGAGTGGTGTTATGTATTCTTCTGATGCTGGTGCTGTTTGGAGAGATCTCAAAGAGCGATTCAATAAGGCTGATGGATCGAGGATCTTTCAATTACACAGGGAGATCGCAACGATGGTTCAAGGAACAAGTAATATCTCTGAGTATTTTACTCGTTTGCGTTTACTCTGGGCATAATTTGATTGTCTAGCTCCATTTTTCTAGATGTGCTTGTTAAAAAACAGAGATTTTGGGGAGTTTATGACTAGGGCAAAAGCTTTTGCAGTTTTTAATGGGACTTAATGAATCTTATGAGCAGGCTCGAGGTCAAATTTTGATGTTAATTCTTCTTCCCTCTGTTAATCAAGCTTATTCCATGATGATTGAAAGAGAAAGTCAAAGGAATATGGCTCATGTTGTTGGTCTAATGATGAACATGGATATTGCTGCAATGATATCTGGACGTAATTCTCACCCTCACAAGTTCAAAAAGAACTGGAATGTTCAGTGTGATTACTGCAACATAATGGGCCACACTAGGGATAATTGTTACAAATTGATTGGCTATCCACAAGATTTTAAGTTTAGGAAGAAATTTGGGAATTCTACTGCTGCAAATTCGAGAGGAAGAGATCCTAGAGGAGGGGATCCTACTCCTAGGAACCAAGCTTATAATGTGAAGATTGAAGATGGAAGAACAAATTCTGATCCAGGACAGTCTAGATCTGCTTGTGTTCATAATTCTAGAGATGCATCATACAAAGAGAAAGGTGTAATAACGTCTGATTCTAATTGAAAGAGTGGCATACCTGGGAGATATTCTGAGGATTGGGACAACGGAAAGACAACTGCCAGTTACTCACACAATCAATACAGTCAGATGATGCATCACATGGATAATCCATATCATTTTAATCAATTTCAAAGAATTCTAGACAGGGACATTGTTGGTGAAAGTTCAGGAAATTGTCTGATTCAGCCAACATGGGAGGTAAGTTTTTTACTTCTCATATAGTAGATGTTCCTCGTGCAAGTAATGTCTATACCCCTGAGTTGAATGACTTTAAGGAAGAATGGATAGTTGATACTAGTGCTAGTAATCATATGATTGCACATAAAGGGATGTTGTATACTGAGCCCATTAATGTTACAGATAAAAATGTGTATCTACCTAATAGAGGTACAGTAGATATTTCTCACATTGGCAACTGTGAGATCATGGATGGTAAACCATTGAGTAATGTCTTGCATATTCCAAATTTTAGATACAATCTACTATCTGTATCTAGGATTACTAAGGAGTTGCAATGCTCAGTCATTTTTTTCCCTAACTTATGTGTATTTCAGGACCTCTCAAGTGGGAAGGTGTTGGAGATTGGTGAGGAGAATGAGGGACTTTACTTGTTAAAGCACAAAGATTCAGCAACTACTAAGAAGCATCCAATTAAGGGACTGTTAGCTAGGAAGAACAATATAAATATTTTACTTTGGCATAAGAGAATGGGCCATGCATCTGTTGGGGCAATGCAACAGTTATTCAATCTTACTCATGATGAATGTAAAAGAGTTCTTGACTCTTGTAATGTTTGTCCACTTGCTAAACAAACTAGGATCCCTTTTTCTGACAGTCATAGTATATCTACTTCAGTTTTTTATTTGTTGCATTTGGATGTATGGGGACCATTTCATGTACTTACTTTTGATGGAAATAAAATGTTTCTAACCGTTGTGGATGATTACTCTCGTATGACTTGGATTTTCTTGTTAAAACACAAGAGTGATATTGTAGTGGTTTTGAAAGATTTGCTCAAACTGAATTTAGCTCAATTTGGCAAGACAGTAAAAATGGTGAGATCAGATAATGGGACATAATTTGTTAACCTTGAATGTGCCAACCTATTCAACAGTCATGGTATTATTTATCAAAAATCTTGTGTTTATACCCCACAACAAAATGGGGTAGTGGAAAGGAAACATAGATACATTTTGGAATTGGCTAGAGCAGTCAGGTTTCAGGGATCTATACCATTGAAATTTTGGGGCCATTGTGTATTAGGAGTTGTTTATCTGATGAATGGACTATCTTCCGTAGCTTTGACTGGAAAAACACCTTTTGAAATATTTCATGGATGCAAAGGTGCATGTGATC